CCGGCTGAGTGATGTCATGGAAGAGGAGGATGAACGCAGCCGAGCCAGTACGAGCCGTGTGTAGGACTCTGCGAGTTCATGCTGATGCACATGGCCGGCGTGTATACGGTTCTCTTTTCAAACAGTAATTTAATTGCAACCAAACGACACATTCATTTGAAGCCGGGCCAGTTACAAGACAACTACGGTCCACTACAGCAAAGGAGAGCTCTAATCTTTTAGATCAGTCGTCAGTTACAGTTCTATGTTGGAGCGTTGTCGCATTATTACAGCCATTCCCGCTTTACAGCACTGGGAATTCGGTCCCAGGACGTGTTCTGTTGTACATTCGACCGAAGCGAGTTTCTTCGACCAAGTCTGCATCTAGAGAAGGTCTTAATTATGTCATAATAATTCGCACCATGCCTGGGACCCTGTTCGAATTGACCGCTTTTTGTTCAATCGTATCTATACATCAGTTACAAATATCGAAGCGGAGTCGGGATCACACAGCAAAACAGTTGCCTCGTGCGTTCTTACATATCTCTTTTATTATGCACTTATCATGAAAATTTTCGAACGACTGAATCAATAGCAACGAAGAGTTGTTGCGGATATGGTCTTGCCATCACGAAAGAAGCTTCACTTCTGACCTGATCAATTCGGAGACAACTTTCGCTACTAGGGGACATTTGGAGTTCACATCTGTTGCATGTATGGTTTTATTGCTAAAATAAGAACGAGATGTGGAGTTGAGGGTCTTGGAGTACGGAGTGCGTATGGAAATTGGAGTTTTTACTATTGTTTCTCTCATTTGCATGGATGATAGGAGATCCTGGCCAACTAATAATTGCTAGATGGGATCGGTGTTGCACGGCCGCCTTCATAAGGACTAGAGTACAGGGTCAATGTGAAATTACTACGTTTTACGATGCAAACATTTGACCAATCTCAAGCAGCATGTTATATGTTCGGGATTGATATTAAGGTGACTAGCCCAACTGCGACTGCGCTCGAAGGCATCTGTGGGACAGAAAATGCAAATACTCCAGCGGCAATGCGTTGTCGTCGATACTATTCATTCGAGCCCTAAAACGTATATATATATATATATATATGTGTGTGTGTGTGTGTGTGTGTGTGTGTACATTGGTATGCCTTCGAAGGGTTGTTTGAAACCCAGGAGCCTTGCCATGGACACTAATCAAGAAACCCAGAAGAAACTCTACACAAGAAAACGCCGTTCGTTCGCCTCTCTTACTCTTCACAACTCCAAAAGCTACATAGAGAGATATTTCGTATTCATACAGCTGCGTCACCCCTTGTTTCAGCACCGCCTTGCTGAGATGTGGTGCCCCAAGGAAAGCCATCGCTGGTGCTAGCTTGTGATGGCTGGCGGTTTCTGCTCCTGAACCAGCTCAACGAGAGGATGTTACCAAGAGCGCCTGAGTCTGTAGAGCTCCTGTTTCTCTGGTATCGGCGAGCTTTGAGACCCGGAAATCCTGTGCTCTTTCGCCTTCGTCGTGTAAGTCGTCGAGGCGTAGATTCGGTGCTTGGCCCAGATTCATCCCCAACAGGGCCACCAGTGGTAGATCTCTTGGTTGGGAGCAGAGGTGAGGACTCTGTATGGCGCGCCAGTGTACTAGACCGTCTCCTATTGCCTGGAGTACTGGGCTCGTCTCGGTCCTCCAACTCATCCCAAATCTCAGCTCGCTCGGCCCACCGAGGGGTCCTCTTCCGAGAGGGGACCAGTGGTGTTTCGTCGATCGCGGGCGGGAATGTTTGATATGTATGTGGAATTGAGTCTTCATCTGCAACGGCATTGTCTGAGCCAAGCAGCGACTCTTCCTCCTCGGTGTCCTCCACAAGTCCAAGACCAGGGGCAAGGGACGACTGTCCAACGCCGGGTGTATGCTGCTCATCGCTTAATCGCCATGAGAGTGCCAGGACACCCGAAAGCAGAATAACAGTTCCTAAAGCAATGAGGCATGCTCTTAGAGGCGATATTAGGCTCGTCTGGTTGAAGTATATCAAGCCGTCAAGAATGGCAATGATGTTGTAGACACAGAAAACCAAAGGGTAAAGAACCGATGTTGAAACAAGCTTGAGACCTCGGTGTAAGTAATAGAGCTGGCAAAGAGCCAGCGTGACGAGAGCTAGGACGATGGCCCAAGATTGCCAATGCACGAACTGGTTCCGTCCCGCAACAGTCTTGATGACCAGCTCTACCGAGGACTTGGCGAACAATAGTGCATGAGCAGAGAGATCTCCACTGATGACGCCGTAAGTAATACCTCGAGCCAGCCGAAAGCGGGCGTCGTGTGATAGGCTCGACATGCTGTTGATTAGATCAACGGCCAGCGCCAGAGTAAGGACAAAGAGCGCCTGAAGTATCATCCAGACAATGTATGGCCTTCTCGCCATGAGTTCCAACAGCTCCTTCAAGTCATGCGCCGGCGAAGGAATGGCTCCGAATATAGCGATCAATACAGCGCCAGTTGTAACGAGAATCGTGCCAGACAAAGACCATCTTGTGAAAGGTTCGCTGAGGATCAATGATGCGCATATCGAGTTGAACACGAGGCCAGCAGCCTGCAAAGTCGAGAGAACGGGTAGTGGAAGCGTCGAGATCTGAATGCTGCTTCCCAGCAAGTTTGCTACAATAAACATGCCCATGCCAATCTGCCACCTCCTCCTTCGGTAGGGAGGCCGTCGGACATCGTGAGGTCCCTTTTCGTCCTCGAGTATATGCGACTTTCGCTGCAAGGTCAGACCTAGACTCTGAACACTGGTCGATATCAATCCAACAATAATTCCAAGCTACAGTCGCCAACATTAGCACTCTTATCCGTTCAAACAGCGCTGTACACAACGTACAGCTATGCTCCCTCCAGAAGAGATGCCGCCAAGCAACCCCATTGCGCCTGTGCCAGGTCCGAGGTCATCTGGCAAGGGAGAGTTGAGGCGAGTTGTTGAGACGTCGCATAGGCAGTGTGTTTGGTACAAGGGTCGCTTTGTATCACTGGGCAAGTAAAGGATGTATTCGTTTCGATAGATTCAAGGGGAATGGCTGGTTGAAGCGCTAGTCGTAGGTAACGCGGGAGGCTGTTGAGCTGCCGCCGATCGGAGAGGTATTCCAGCCGGTGCCTTATTCGAGAGAGGAGCGTAGGATATGGAGAATTAATATGAATGCCCAGTTTGATGCTATAAATTTATGTCTTGAATTGAAACTAATCAATAGAAAGTCGGAGGCGGACAAGCTTGAGTCGAGCGTGGGACACCTGACGTGAGTAGAGCACACTACAGTTAGTACCTAGAGCAGATAGGCATGCAGCTCCATCTCACACGGGACTAATTAGCCACTGTGGCGGTGAGGTTACATAATGCACATGCGAACCATGCAAAATGGCATTGACCCGATCTCAATTGCTCACACTCAAATCTGTAAGTGTCCAAAGTAAGGGCCTTGCCACAAACATACCTCATCCTTCCAAGAACTATGCTTATCTTGCGATGAGGTGTGAGAACGACACTTCTTGTCAAATGGCTGTGCTACCTCAGTACCTTACCTTACCTTACGTAGTGTACTCTAAACGGTGTGGAACATCTGTGGCTTGGCTACCTACCTAACCCCCAGCTGCAGTCGGTTCCCTGCTGGAGCACAGTAAGATACAGCTAAGGAGCTGGTAGGCTGGGTCTTGGAACGGCTGGCGTCACAATCCATCCATACCTTACCTACCTACCTACACAGCTACCAACTCCATCATAGTCCATCGCTGACCTTGACCTTCACTAACAAGAGGCCATCGCCAGCCTTTCACCACTTCAACCTTGACCCCATCCAGGGCTTTCCTTAGCATCCCCTCACCTTTCGAATCTAACAAATCCATATAAATCTGCCCATCATGTCGCAACACGCCTTGTCCGACCAGCAGGTACGCATGCCCAAACGACGCAATCCCTCGTCCATCTCACCAGTCCTCTAATTCTAATTTTAACGCGCGGTTCTCCTCACAATTAGGTCAATAATGAGCTCAGCAAGATGACGGCGTTCATCAAGCAAGAAGCCATGGAGAAAGCCCGCGAGATCGAGATCAAGGCCAATGAGGAGTTCGAGATCGAGAAGTCCAAGCTCGTCCGCCAGGAGACAGACGCCATCGATAGCCAGTACGAAAAGAAGTTCAAGCAGGCCACCATGTCTCAGCAAATCACCCGCTCAACCGTTGCCAACAAGACGCGACTCAAGGTCCTCGGCGCCCGCCAGGAGCTGCTCGACAACATATTTGAGGAGGCCCAGAAGAAGCTCGCCGAGGGTGCCAAGGATAAGGGCAAGTACCAAAAGGCCCTCAAGGGTCTCCTGCTTGAGGGTTTCTACGCTCTGGATGAGCCTGAGCTCCAGGTTCGCGCGCGCAAGAAGGATTACGATGTCGTCAAGAAGGCCATCGAGGAGGCTGCCAAGGAGTTCAAGAAGGAGCTTGGAAAGGACATTGCAGCAAAGATTCAAGAGGACGATCCTCTCCCCGAGGGAATGTACGTGCAAGCCCGTTACAGGAAATCCCTCGAGTGGCCAGCTAACAGAGTAATAGTGCTGGCGGTGTGGTTGTTATCAGTGGAAGTGGAAAGATTGACATCGATAACACTTTTGAGGCGAGATTGCGACTCTTGGAAGAGTCTGCTGCTCCTGCAGTACGAGAGGCTCTATTTGGCAAGAATCCTAACCGCAAGTTCTTCGACTAAACCCCCTTTGGCCACCATAAATATCTCTATATGGGAGCCTCTACGTACGTACCGTTTCCATGAGTGCACGACTGGGGAGGCTCTTCAACCGTTCTCGACCCGCATTGTTCATCAGTCTGCGCTTGTAGTTTAGAGGTTGTGTATTGTGTTTGACTCTTTTGTCTGATTTGGGACTTGGCCCGCGGTAGAATTGATTACACGTTCAAATACTCGCGACATACAACAGTACCTAGTGAAATACCGCACGCCTTCATCCTTCTCGGCTAACCCTGTGGCTCTCAAGTTTATTTCACCTTGACTACGATCGTATCGGCGTCTACTGCTTCGTAGAAGACATCCTCTGATTCTGCAGGGGATGGTTCAGCCATTGGATCCGGCACACTCTGTGGTGCTTTCTTGAGGAAGCTCTTCATGTAATTCTGCTGCTTCGGAAGGAAGGGATCCTCTTTCTGACCTGGCAGATCAAATATGCTCTTCTTCGCCTTTCGACGTGTACGGACTGAGTGTGCAAGTCGCTGCTGGACCCATTCTATGACGCTTTTGGCTTCTGTACGAGCGAGTTTCATACCCGCATCGTTGATCTTTCGCCAGATTTCCCTCAGTCTAAGTGCAAGCTCGTCAACATCACTATTGAACTGCTTTTCCTTCTCCGGATCAGGAGATGGTGCAAATGAGCCGTCATCCACGACGATATTGATAAGGATAATGTTGGCCTGGAGGAGGGCGAAATCTGTCTTGGGCCCGACGAAGAAGTCCTCGTGATCCAAGAGTGCTATGACGCCACGAATAGTAACCACATCGTCGGGATGGTAGCGACCCAAGCTTGGGTCGTTGAACAAAAACACTACAGCCAGTCGCCGTCTAAGCTCGTGAGGTCTGGCTTTGCTGATAGGCAGACACGCAAGAGCATTGGTCCTCACACATTGTTCTTTGACTAATGTGTGCAGCTGTGTACATGTTTCAGAGCACTGCATACGTGTCAGTCAGAATCTCGCGTACCACCCTTGAGTGTAACTCACAAATGTGTCCCAGCCAGGGTGAGGAATAGCTTCGAGAAGGGCATGGATACAAGTTTCGTAAGTGACCAACAAATCAATCTCATATATCAAGAACTTGTCCATTGACATACGTAGGAGCGTCTGCGAAGCATAGACAACCGACTCCTGGGACATGTAGGGCGAGATGGCAGTGAGGAGCGATAAGAAGGAGCTGAGAGATGACCAGTCGCGTCCTTCATAGGGCTCGGCACTTGGTTTCAGGATATTCAACTGAGAGTCTTGTTGTTCAAGCTCAGAAGAAGCGCCGAATCGACGAAACAACTCCTCCAAACGACGCGGCGTGACAATGCGCGCAACTGCTTCTGGACACGAGCTGAGCAAGTTACAGTATTCTCGTCTGACAAGAGTTGACTTTTGGGAGCAAACCTCATTCAGTATCCATTCGAAAAGCTCATCCGGGAGTTCCCCCTGCATTTGCAAGATGGTAAGAGGTAGTCCAGAGACAAGATGTTGCTCACGTGTCTGGTAATCGCCTTGAGTCAACAGTCTCCATGGCCCTTTGTTAAATTTTTTGGGGGCAGCTGTGGGGGATGGTATTGCATATCCTTCACGAAAGAAGCAATATCGAAGCTGTGAGTGTCCCGGTGCTGACCTCTGAACAGCTCTCATTACTTTCTGGGCATCTTGACCGGTGTTGTTCTTGACAATGCCCTCCATCGCATCCCGCGACATCTCATCTGTTGTCATTTGTTGATCATGTTGTTCAGCAGTTGAAAAGGCCTTGATCTTCAAAGCACTTGCATGAGTCGCATCGTCCTGTCTAGCATCCTTTGCCAGAGCTTTGAGGTCGAATTTGTGCTTGGACATTATCGCCAATGGGGATGCAGGAAACTCAACTGCAGTTCTCTTGGCCCTTGGGGTCGTAAAGGGATTGTGAAGGGTTGTACCAGCAGCCTTTCCTGGGCGACCTCGTCCAAGGATAGCGGACAGATCCTCCAGCGAATCGTCTGAGGATGCTCCAAGATCATCTTCTTCGTCTGAATCTTTAATCTCGAAGTCTCGAGGAATTGTTGCCGTCTTCTTGAATGGCGTAGCCAACTTTCTTTCCGATGGAGATGAAGGTGGCTGTGGTGATGATGGTGGGTTTGGTGTTGAGGTTCTGGAGGCCTTGGGTGTTTGTGACTTTGTCACGGGTTTGAAGAAACTCATAATATTCCCATTTTTACCCTTTTGAGACATGGCGTATCTGATTCGATAGCCAGCGGTAGTTTTCAAAAATGCAGCAGGTTATTTGGAGAGTCTCCTGGTATTGATACCTTCACCTGCAAAAATGACTGCAGGTACAGGGTGTGTGAGGGAAGTACAAGATGCAGCTACGACATACTAACCGCGTTAATGGCTTTAGGTTGAGGCGCGTTGGGGTACGGTGAGGCTGGTGACTAAGTGTGGCTGCTGTGGCTGCCTGGGGACCTAGGTAGACTAGGTACCTAGAAGCTGACTGCAATGAGTTACGGATATGAATAGCATCACCAATCATCATGCGACTGTGTCTAGTGCTTAGTACCTGGCTTAGAGAAATCTCTACTGTTAGTCTGTGAGTACTGTAGAACAACCGGCATCTAAAAGAAGTTACAGGTTGCATTTTGGCCGCTGACAGACCTCGCCCTATAGATGTAACCATTTCTAGATGTGGCGCTCTACCAAACGGGCGGTTAAAAGGAATGGTGACAGTTCTTGGCCTGGCCCCCTTTCTAAAGGCTAGAGTTTCCAGAAGAGTCCCCTCTTGGACATCGGTCTTCTAGGTCTCAGCATTGACCAGGCCTTTATCACGATGCAGACGTAATGCTGTTGTTTTTAGCTCACTGGTTCGTGCTCCAAGATACGCGGCGTGTGCGGGATCAAGCCTCATAATCTATCAACGACACATGGGTGTTTCGTCTATGTAGACGGTGGTCGAGAAAAGGGGTTCATCATGCGTTTAATGCTAACACCGCCGAGAACGCTGGAGAACGATCGTCGGAAATGGAGCCTTTGCGTTCATTCCAGTACCTATCTCGTCTCTTATTACTGCACAAATCATAGTGCAGTATTGAAATCGGGGGTTGGAACCTTGTGTCTGGTATGCGACCCCAAGATGTTGACTTGGAGCTTATTTTTTTTCGGCACTGATCTAGTGCAACGTCGATGTTGGTGTAGGTACTAGGTAATGATGCTGTGAAGAAGGATTATTAGGTCTAACACGCCCAAGCTGACTGTAGTGTAATACCAGTAAGCTCAGATAACTAGGTACGGAGTAGATGTGGTTTCGGCATCCGAGCCTGACAGGAGTCCAGGGCTCGGGCTATTGTTATACAGTTATACTGCTTCTTGTTAGATGATGACGCCTGAATACGACAGTGGGTCATTTGCGAGGAGCCGGTCTCAGACGTCCAATCCGAGGCTGACGCAGCACAGCCCAGCTCGGCGCGTTCCATTCTTTGCATCTGAAGGGTTGGATCAGAATTGATGGATCATATGGATCCTTCCATCTCTCTAGCCTGGGCAGTCCTTGGGTTGATAAAAATGCACTTCGGATCAAGAATTAGAGGTTGACCGTTTGACTCAAGTGTTACGACCAGATGATGATATGTCATACAAACAAAAAGAGCTAGCAGAGGCGATGTCATTTTATCATTCTTGAAATTCACGCCCGCCATCACGAGGTATATAGATGATTCCAACCAGCCGATATGATCTTGGCGATCTAGTTCTACTCGTGATATTTGGCAACCCCTGGGGAGTCCTGTCACTGGAAATTTGGACCTGCAGATGGTAGGCTCAGGAGAGGAGACCCCTAGCAAGGGTCCTCTCCAGTTGACGAAACAAGGAGCAAAGGGCACTCGCGTTCCTGAGCGGCGCTGAGCTAATAAGGCGTTAAGACAGGGGGACAATGGGTCTCTGCTGTTACTTGCATGTACCTTACCCAAGGACAATGCAATGGTAAGAAAGCCAAGCCAAGCATCCACGGTTTTTCATGATCGGATAGGACAGTGCAGCAATAAGGGCAATTAAGTCAGTGCAATGTAGCACTGTAAGAAACAAAGTGCCTCGTACAGAGCGTGTATTTCGTGCTCCCGTCAATCCCCGTACGGGAATAACACAGACTCGAAAAAGATCACATCTCCAAGTTCCAACACCTGGGCTTGAACAAATTGAGCTTGGAGTCAGGCTGGATGATGAAACGTCGATTTGATGGCGAATCTCTACTAACCAAGTGGAACCGTAATCCGTCACCTGTGGTGCAGCACGTCCTGACGTTTGAAGAGGTAAGAAAACTTACGAATTCTAGTCTAAATGACAAAAATGATTAGGCAAGGTTGACATAGACCCTGTTGGGCTTTTATATCCATCTTTTTCGGCATCCCAGGCCAGGTTCATATCTTTTCTTGAGGCACGGCAACGCCGTACTCAGCACCGCAATTTGTTCGTTCCATGGGCTCCGTGAAAGTGGTAGACCCCGCTGTGTTTGTAAGCCCGGTCCGTTGATTACAAGTGACCGACCGATGCTGCTTTATTATTATCCATCAGTCATGTCTGCATCTACTTATGAGTTACGGAGTAGTCCCATTGGATCCATGACGGCGGAGAAATATCGTGGCGCTTTTTCTCGCTCCTAAGTAAAGTCCGTGAACCCGACAATGCGGAGGTAAAATCTGGACATAACGGGACCTGCGGAGGTTTTGTATTTCCATCCAAGTGAGGAAGGCGCTCGTATAACCCCGGGATGCCTTATACTGCCAAGGGGCATAATTGGATTTGGAGTATATCGATATTAGAGTAGGTAGGAGGTAAATAAACAAAGGACGCCGTGGGTTAGGAAAGAAACGGGACAGAATAAACAAAAAAGAGAGCGGCCAAAGTCTGTTTAATGAGGGGCTGATATTCATTCATTCATCCATTGAAGCAACGTGGGGCTTATGCTATACAGTAATAATTTAACCTTGCTGGTCCTCTCTCTATTAGGCAGGGACGTGAAGATCTGGTCGAAGCTTGTTCCTCGGTTGTTTATGAGTTTATGAGGCTGTCAAGTGTCTCTCTACCAGGAATAACCCTTACCTTCTCGCACTTTGACAGTAAATATCCTCGTACAGGAAGAAAGAAGTCTCAGATCTTCGTTCCAGCGTGGTATTCAACATCAATAAAGGAGGACGAGGCGAAACCGGATCTTGTTGCCGCCAAGCGACCATTGAGATCATCACGCAAGGTTGGATAAATAAAAGGTGGAGGATCCCGTCTTGAAACATTGCAATTGCTACCTACAAGTTCCTGGAGAAGCCGCTACCTAGGTACTTATCTTCTGTTCCGATTATTGCTGGTGCAGTACATATTGTGCAGCCATCCCCTGAACCCTCGCCAGGAGATTTGTGCAGTCACCGCTCGCAGTCATCAATGTATGTACTTATTTACGGACGATTGTCCAGGGTCGCCAACACGGTGAGGATCAAAAGATTCGACAATTTATCAAGGGTGGTACTCAGAGGAACCCCGCCCTTTTTCGGCCTCCATTGATTGATCCAAGGGGAATTCACAAAACCATTGATGACGGTCTCGACAAGTAGCCACCATATTTGACCCTTAGGGACTAGTCGTGATGGCTGCAACGAATAGAAGCTTATCTGATTTTTAAGATGTACGCTATCGATATCTTTGGTTGCAATGACAATAGTCACGGCCGGAAGGGATTGGTGAAATGCCCGTATGCGGAGTCCATCCACGGAGGCGTCGGAGCCGGAGCTTCCATCCATGGACATTGGAAACACAGGTTAGTAGGTATACCTAAAGTTTAGGTACCCAAAACCCTCAAAACTCACGATGGTTCGTACGAGACTAACGAATCTTGACAGAAAACACGCATCGGATTTCCAGGGTCGCCGTTCACTTGATGATATCCTTGGCAAATCTTAGGCGCGACCTATTGTAAGTTCCCCCCTTTGCAAGGGGTTGGCTGGCTGGTGCTTCAAGGGGCAAGTAAATGCCAGCTGGAGGCGTATGCAGCAATGGATCGCAGCAAGCAAGCTATTAACAAAGCTCGCAAGGGGCCGAGTGATTTATTCGAAGCTAGGTCACGAAGACTTCCTAGAGAGATGCAGATATAGTGGAAGTGTTCAGTGTATGTTTATTACTGGAAAACCGTTGCAGCGCATTTTGTTGTGTTGTTGTAGTCGTGTCAAGGTAAATAAATGGACCCCTGGCTGACAAGCCTCTGTTGGAGTTTCTCATCCTCTCCAACTCCAATGTAGAAAAAAAAAACATCAGGAGTGTCGGGGATATGTAGCGGCCGACCACGCCGCAAGACGCACACAGTGAATGCCCGAGGGAGCCGCCCGTGTTCCCAGGGCTGAGGTATGACTGATCTATTCACGTTAGACCAAGATAGTTCTACAGCCTAGTTAGCTGTTGAGAGCAGTACTGTACAACACAGTCGAAATTCCCGACGACTTCAGTTAGAACCGTGGCGCCGGCGTTAGTGGATTCTACAGGTCGCTGGGAGGCGGGAGATCCATAGGTTCCATTGGATTTTGACCGTTGCCTATCCGTACCGCTGAGAAGTCAACTATCCATGACGGGAACCAGGGAGTACAGTACTAAGTTCATTCGGCATGTAAGGTATGACAGATGTCCGAAAGTACCGTGCTAAGCCTGGAGTCCGCTGAGTAGAAGACACTTTGTTCGTGATGCTGTTTGATGGATGGATAGGATGAATGACATTGAATGTATAGCAGCAATGCGACAACACCGCCTTGTCAAGGCTGTCAAGGCAAGGTAGAGGGTAGGTATGTACATAAGCACTGCAAAGAAGCTTAGCTGCTAGGCATTAGTTAGTAGACAATGCGAGACAGCGCATCGCAATCGTGAGAATCCAATCCATCCAATGCAAGCATGCATCCATAGGTACCTAGGATCCAATCTGTATGCAGGAGCAGATCCATGGGTACTTAGGGGATACATTCCGGGCAGATGAAAGAGTGCGTCGGATGGGCCGGGATCAAGAATCCCCACGCACACCCACCCACAAGAAAGCCTGCGACCCACGCCCCCGACACCCACTCTCCACTACCCATTTCCCTTCAGCAGCGCTCCTCAGCGAGTCCCAGCGGTTGTCTCGAGCGGGTACCACCCAGAAATGGCTATCCCAGAGTGCTAGAGTCTCAGGCTCTCTCGCGGCCTCTCGCTTTAACTGGCGGACGGGACGGGGCCCG